ACTGAGGGAGAGAACTAGTGCTGCACAGTCAGTGTGTCCACATCATAAAGAGATAAAAAATGATTAATTGATAAAATGAAATAAAATAGTAGATGGGAATGCCTCATTTGGCATTTTCTGGTGGAGCCTCTGGGGAACTTCATTTTTTTTTTCCAGTGCTGTTCAATAACTGTATCACATTATCTTGAAAGAAATGGAAAAAAAAAATCATTATTTATAAAACTTGCAGATTGGTCTGGACCTTTCATTTAGGAAACACATTTGAAAAGCGTCCTTTAAACCGAACCCAAATGGGTTTGTATACTTTTGGGAATAAAAATTCCATGTCACACTTCCAAGGCAGGGGGTTTTACTGAGGAAACCAGAGACGAGCTTGCAAGCAGTGATGCTGCAACAGTGCTCGTGTGAGCAAAAGCATTAAAATGGAGAGAAATGAAATGAAATGGGTGACAAAAGATACTATCAGCTCTATATTCACCCATTATGGAGTGGGGGATTGCTAACAAGTGCTGTTTCTAATTTATCCAAGAGAGGGAGAAGGGAAATTTTAAAATGAATGTGGAGAGTGCTATAGGGATGAAATCCAGAAAGGCACGCTCTACGGCAAAAGCCTGAAGGAGTTGTTTATTTATTTTACCCAGAGGATGACTAGGATGTGAGCTAATTATGGTGTGCAAGTGCCTACAGGGAGGTGATATTTATTGTGCTTCCCGGCTTTTTGTTTCTCAGGCAAAGGCGGAGCGACAGCCAGGCGCAGGAAGCTGAAGCCAGACGCACTAGACATGAGGTGGATATTTTTAATGTTGACGGTAATTAACAGTTGGAATAATAGACAGGGGAACCTGGCAGATCCTCCAAGGCTGGAGCTTTTAATTAAGGCTCAGAGGACGTGAAGAAAGGCTAACACCGGAGTTGCCATCCCTCAATTTTCTCTAAAATCAGTGGAAATGGAGACTTTTCTGCAGGAAGAGTCAGAACGGGAGCCAAACCTTCCCCTGCCTCTCTCTGCTGGCTGCAGAGGGTTTCCAGCTTTAGTCAGCAGTACCCTGTGGGAGAAGTCATTACAAAATGCATTTTATTTCCAGCACGCTTGAGGAGCTCGGCGCAGCAGCTCCTGGGAGGCTGCTTGGCCAGGCTGATGCAGGAGGTCAGAGCAGAGATTAGAGCACCCTCTTCTGCTCTGAAAATTTAAAGCAAAGCGAGACAGCTGTGCCTCAGCCTTCCCTGGGGAAATGTTATGGATGTACGAGCACACGCATCGCTTACTCACTTTGGTGAATACTGAAGTGTTGGGAATCCGATGGTATACAAATAATAAATCACATCACAGACAAACACTGTATGAGGTGGTTGTTGCAGCAGTGATGAGCTGCAAATTTGAGGAAAAAGCAAGGTTTGGGGACATAGGATCTTTAACACTAATTCTAGGCAAATAAATTATCTTATTAACCTTTTTTATTTATTTATTTATTTTTTTTGTTCCTTCACCTGCAAGACTTGTCTTACTGAGACAAATCATGCAATGCCAGGACCTGAGCTTGTTTTGCAAGCATGGCAGAGCCCTTTGGGGTGAGAGACCTGGCAGAGCTATTTGGGGGTAACCAGCTTGCCATACAGAGGGTGGATTCCTGCCACTGGCATTATTTGATTGCACGAGAAAAAATGTGAAAACAAGAAGCAGAAGAAAAAGGAGAAAGTGATGCAGGTTTCATCCCACTTGGCTATGTAAAAATATGAATTGTTACATGTCAGAGTAAGCACACTAGTAAAAAGACCTCCACATCAATTTTTTTTTTAATCTTTCAGAGGGGACTTGACACACTTTTTTTTTTTTTTTTTTTCCCTGACATGGGACATTTTAGTGCTATAAACATCCCCCATAAATGAGCCAGTGGAGCTACTGCAGGAGGCTTTGAAACTGCCGATCCTGAGTGGAATTAAACTGCGCAGTACCATTGTCAATATAACAACAATAATAATAACAATAATAATAATAATAATAATAAAGACAACAGGAACATATTAGACATGTATATAGCTATAGGTATATTTGGATATAGATATACACATAAACTAAACTTTTACACTCAGTTCAAAAAATGACACTCCTAGTGCACGAGCTTTATTTAATTTCACTTTGATCCGAGCCTGGCGTGTGAGCCTAACGCATGAGTAGCATACATAGCAGTGTTCTAAGTTCAGGCCTGACGTTTGATGTCTTTTAAGTACTTTCCAAAAGTGAAGCACTTTGGTAATTCCTGATAACTGTCTTGAGCTGCTCCAGTCCCCAGTAAAGCACATTTCCAGGAACCTTCCTGAATCCATGCAAGGAAATGAATGAACGGAAGGAAACGAACAAAACAAATGGAAAGAGCTGCTCTCCCCACTGCATCTGAGTGACTTTGTGGCTTCCCCTAATCATCAGTCACAAAGAACAAGCTACTACTGAACATGCACAAAAGAGATTGTATGATTTATATGACATATTTCAAGTTAATACCGCTAAAAGGTTGAGTTACAAATGGTTCCCTGTAGACCAAATGCTGTTCCTACGGCCTCGGCTAAATTATTGCAAGGGGCTTCCTAGCTAGGGCAGGTGTGGTGATGTTCGAGGTCTTTCCAGGTTGACAGTTTTATTGCCAGGTCCACTAAGGAATGAAGGTGTCTGGGAATGTGGAGGGGGTTACTGGGGGCTTCAGCTGTAGGGAAAGATCTAAAGAGCCCAGGGAGACAGGAATATTATGCTGCAAATGTAAAAAGCTCTGTGTATGTTATGATGGGTACTAGGGAAAAACAAGGAAGGTGGGACTGTAAAAAAAAACATCAACAGGATGGTGGGGTCTGAAATCAAATATTTTGCTTACCCCAGGCCTGAAAAAGCTCTTGGCTCTGCTGCTTCAGGGTGGAAGGGGAGCTGTGGTGCAGAGACTTAAGGATCTGTTCTGCAAGGGGCAGATCCCAGGAGCTAAATCCCACTAATCCAAAGGCAGAGCCTTAAGACGCCATCCCTACAATTACTGAGTTAGATATGAATAAGTCCTTGCACTGAGGCAGTTCGGAGTGAGGCAGCCTTGGAGTTCTGCAAGACCTTCACCGAGGTCCAAAGATCTTGGGGTGATGCACCCCGATTCATGAAACCCTGGAGGAGAAGGATGGTCCTCACCAAAGGGAGCACAGGAAGATTTTGAGACTGCCAGAGGGTCCCAGAGCACCAGCTGGGGTGTCCTGTGAAAATCCCAGCCTGAAGGAGGTGGGCACTTGCACGGAGGCCCACCATGCATCACCTCTCCCTGGGGAAGGATCCATGTCCCAGGAGATCCATCACCACCAGTGAGATGTTGCTCTGCTGGTGGGTGGCTTTTCCTGGAGGGCTCTCTCCATAAAGGACCTGCGGGTATATTTATAGCACACTCAGCCCCAGTGGATGAAGATCCAGGATAAAAATACTTCTCTGGTAATGAACAGGTAAGCTGGTAAGGGGGCTGCTGCTTTTAGAGCACAAACTTGTTTGGATCAGCAAATTTTCTCAGCCATGGGATGATGTTATTGATGGTGGAGGAGCTGCTGTGGGTTTGGGATTTCTGTGCCTGGCTGTGAGGGGTGGGTCCTTTACTCCCCAAAACGTATGGCTCTTAGTCTTTAATAACAAATATTTTACACCAAGCTTGAATACAAAGCTTCTGCCATGGCAGTTGTTTAACAGTTCTTAGCTAAATTCCAATCATAATATTGCTTTTACCTCGTTTTGTGGCTACCTGGTTTTCCACCTTTCCATCTGCCAGGTTTAAAAGACACTGGCAAATGAGATAAGTTTGACCTTGAAAAACCTTTTCATAAAGTTTTAAAATCATATGCATTTACATATACAACTCTAAGTACCTGCATATATGGGCCAGTACCTGTTTGTGTGCATGTGTTTATGTGTATATGGGCTTTGGTTCATTTTCACAGCTCACTGAGGTTTTGGGAGTGGCAGAAGTTGCTGGCTCAGTGCATTTTATCTGTTTGTGCTCTTATTTATGTGTTTTTCTATGTGGTTTGGGATTTATCTTCCGAAGAACTTCAAAAATGCTGTACGCATAGGTTGCATTTTTTGCTGCAAACAGAGTCACTCTTCACTGGCTCGTTTCAAAATATATTGCAAAACTTTAAAAAATGTTAATATAGGTGTGCATTTTAGGACCACAGGGAGTTTAACTGGCAATTGGTAGGGTTTTCTGTGTGGTACAATGGTTTTTGTGGTGCACATCCATGGGGCTATGCAGGTTTTTGGCACCCCATACACTTGCACCTTGAGAGCTGTTGTATAATTTGGGCTGATTCAGCTCTACCTACATGCACCGAGCAAATACGTACACAGGAAGGCAAATGTAATCTGCTTTTCTTCCAGCAGCTGGTAATGCACTGCTTGGCTTCCTGACGAGCTCAGCTTCAGTCTCCCTGCCTGTAAAACAATGTCATTTCTCCTACCGTGTCCTAACAGCTTGCTCTGGGTGCTGTCGAGGCACATTAAGTTGCAGACGTTCAACACTGGAAATTCATTCAAGACGTTTTTCCACGCTCTCTGGTGGCTGCTGTTGGGAATAATCGCAGTTTCCCCTCCGGTGCATTGTTCCATTTTTAAAATTGGACTGCTCGGACCCTGGGACTGTGATCCCTTCTTCTCCAAAGCCTTTCCCCATGCGGCTGCCAGGTTAGCGGTGGAACGAATAAGCAAAGACCCTTCGCTAGACCTTGGCCAGAGATTGGATTATGTGGTCCTGCAAGAAGATTGTGAGACATCAAAAGCTCTGGTTAGATTCATTGACTTTGGAAAATTTTCCTCAGCTTTCGTAGGCCCTCTGAACCCTGGCTTCTGTGAGGTGGCTACTCTTTTAGGGGAAAACTGGAATAAAACCATCTTCTCATGGACGTGCATCAATTATAAACTGGATTCCACCACCCATCACCCTGCATTTGCCAGGACCCTGCCCTCTCCAACCCAAGTTTTGTTTACAATCATGAAATACTTTAACTGGGCTCACGTTGGCATCATTGCTTCCAACCAGGATGTTTGGATGGACACAGCCAACAAGTTAGCAAGTGCACTCAGGAACGAGGGGCTTCCTGTAGGCATTGTTACAGCCATGGGTAAAGGAGAAAAAGGCATTGAAGACACTTGGAACAAGATCAAAAAAGTTGGTGGCATTAAAAGTAAGTGCTTTGAGTGCTTTGAGTCTCACTCCTTTTCTTTTTACTTTTTTTTTTTATTTTTATTTTTTTTTCTCCAGGGTATGGCCTGCATTGTTATCCATGAACATAACCTAGAGAATGAAATTCTGAAGTTATTTAAGTCAAGCAGAATTTTATCTCTGACCTTAACAGAGCCAGGGTTTCATGTGAAAGAATGCTGGGCATTTTGTATGTGAAGGAGATAGAATAAAATTGTAGTCTACAGCATCAAAGTCTGTGTCCAGCTCGTGTGAAAAGACAGTGTTTAGTAGAGATGGGTGTCTCAGCTTGACCCTATCAAGTGTAAAGAGGGGTTTGTAGGAAGGTTTTGTATTGTTGGTGTTTTGAATTATCAGAAATCTCATGCTTTGGAAATGCTGTGTCCTTGCTACCTGGGTTCAGTGAGTTTTTGGGGGTGAAATCCAGTGTTATACACCGCATACTAAAGCAACAGAAGCATCCCTGCTGGTGTACAATGCATGTAGTAATGAATGCTCTGTTTTATCTTAAGAAAATGGGTAAAAGCCTTGTTGTCCTGGTTCAAAGCCTTTCAGGAAGTCTGTGACACAGCTCTGATACTGGATGTATCTTTGCAATCAGCACTGCAAATCCAGCTGAGGATGCATTTTAAATAAAATTTGCTTTTTAGGCTAAAGGCTAACAAACAAGGGTAGGAAGGTGGTGTATAACTTGATTTTTATCAGTGCTCAGCTCTATGATGGAGAGCAAAACCAGCTTGGGTGGGTTCATCTCATCTCCATCACTACTCTGTTTGAGCTAGAGATGATGGGCTGCTTCCATTAACAAAGAACCGGTCCCTTCTCAAACACGATTCATCTGGCCAGCTTAAGCTCCCTGCTATATATAGTACGTGATAAATCACTGCCTAGAAGTACCTGCTTGTTTCCTGTAATTCAAATACCTGAAAAAAATGCCCTTGTTCACTTCAGTTCCTCATTTGTCAGGAATACTTTCTTTCCTAAGGAGTGTCCAACCAAAATCTCTATAGCTGGTGATGGGATGAATGGGTGCAAGTTGGGCACTGCTGATGACTGTGTGGTGTCCTTCAGCTCAAGGCACATGAAGGGAAAGCTCACGGCTCAGTTAATGACAGCATAGGATCATGATTACCCTCCTGTTTTATTTTGAAAAGCCCAAATGGATTAATAACTCTGTGGTCCTTGTGTTTCAGTTATACTTCTGTGCATGCATTCTGTGCTCATTGGAGGGGAGGAACAGGCCACCTTGCTCACAAAAGCTCAGGAAATGGGACTAACAGATGGAAGATACGTCCTCATTCCATACGACACTTTACTTTACAGTCTTCCTTACCAAAATATCTCATTCTATGCCCTCGACAATGACACCAAGCTCCAGGAAGCATATGATGCTGTGCTGACTATTACACTGGAATCTGGGAACAGGACTTTTTATGATGCATTCAGGGAAGCTAAAGAAAATGGTGAAATAGCCAGGGAGCTGGAAGCTACACAGGTAAATATTCTTTTTCTCGAGCTTTTCCGGGACATGGTAACAGGACATGTAGTTCAAACAATACTTACAGAGAAAGGACAGGAGAGAGACCGTGTGCTTGCATTTTGAGAAAAATATGGTGAAGGTTGGGTGTTGTCTGCATTTGTTTGGAAAAGGTATTTCTCCTGATTGTCTGGCAATCAAAGTCAGTTCAACTGCAGAGCTGTGATGGGAATTCAAGAGAAATGGGCTCTCAGATTTGGTTTAACTTAGTTAACTGCAGTAAACCCAAGCTAAAGTGGTCTCTCTTCAGGTGGATAAAGTCTGTGACCCCAGCTTAAAGCACCAAAATAAGATTCCCACATCTGATAATTTTTTGAGGGGCTGCAACAAACCAAATACTGGATGCTTCTAGGTGGAAGTGATTATTATTGCTGCCTCGTGCTTCTTAGCACTTCAGTCAAAGTTGTTCTTTCAAACATGCCAGAACAATTATCTCAAAGTCTATCTAAAAAAAAAACAAACAAAAACCAAACCAAACCAAACCCCACAGTCAAGTTCTACCTTTTAGACATTAGAATTGGAGAATCTGTTGTGCTGGTGAGGAGATGCAGAATTCAGCTGCACTAATCTTCAAATCTCACTAGGATCTTCCAAAAATTTAAGCACTTTTAAGGCACAATTTATCAGATCTGCATGGGTGTCTACTTTAGAAAGTAGGAATCATGTCTTAAGCATCCATATCTTTTCCTTCACTGCAATGAGAGCCCAGGGTAACTATACTGAGTGTAGGATTCTTCACTGTAGGTGTCTACATCTGGTCAACAAATCCCTCCATAGACATCAAATTCTGTAGTTCCCAGCAGCACTTCTCATTTTATAATGAGTGTATTGGCTATAATCTCTCTTCAACTACCAACTGTGAATGATCATATGTCTACAAAAACAACCATTTTTGGGGGGAGAGGGAAAGGTACAGACTCTTAAATCAAGTCTGGCACAGAGGGGAGCAATGAAAAAGGCTTTGGTACCCCAGAGGACAGATTTTCTCTGGCAGTGAATTCTATGTCTTAGGAATAATCAATGCTTTGACAGAGAGGACTGATAACCTGAGTATGACATTTTTCCTAGCTGGGTAGGGAGCCGAGTCTCTTGCTGTGATCTTTTATTTGTGGAAGATGTTTTAGCTCAATCCTTTGAGGCTGGCTGTCATAAAAAGCCAGCTGAACGTCAGGCTCATAGTCTTGCCTCTTCCCATAAAGTAATTTTACTTGATTTTAAAAATATTTTGAAAGTGTATTTTGGGAAGCAACTGTAAGAAATATTCACATATGTTTTTGACAGAGCTACCTTCAATCTAAGATTCTTCAAACCCATTTTTCTGTGAGCCTTAATGCTCATGGGTTCAAGTACCTCCCTTTAGCATTTTTAATACTTCAGATGTCCAAAAGTTTTCAAGATCTTATACCTAGACTTAATGTTGAATGGAAAACAAAGTTATTCAAGTCCTCTAATATATCCTCCTAGATCCAGCTATCAGTCTGAATTTGCACAGGTCTGTGACAAACCTGGAGAACAAAACCTATTGTCTCAATTCTTGAGTTTACGGATAAGCCAGAGGGACATCTTCTGATGTCGATGTTAAACCAGAAGTTGGCAGCAGTATGTCCTGACCAGAATTTTATCTGTAATTTCAGGTTTCTCCACTCTTTGGGACAATCTATGATGCCATTTACTTCATGGCAATGGCTATAAGCAGTGCTCGGAAAAAAGGAGCCTGGGTCTCAGGAGTTAACATAACAGAACACACGAAAAACGTCAGTTTCCCTGGATTTAGCCAGTGGTTAGAGACAGACAGCTGTGGGAAGTGGCTGAGCAACTATGTCGTACTGGACACAGATGGTCATGGGAGCCAACTCTTCCCAACCCACTTGCTGGACATGTCTTTAGAGGATGTGACATCCCTCGGCCAGGACATCCACTTTCCCAGTGGAGCCCCTCCCAAAGCAGACTGCAGCTGTTGGTTCGATCCAGACGTTCTCTGCACTGGAGGTAAGAAAAACAAAATACTGTGGTCAAATGTCATCAGACCTACCCTTCTTATTTATTTCATCTTTTTTCTTACTCTGTGTAATTATCTACTAAGTTAGATTTCCCCAAAGAGAAAAGACCAAACCCAAGAAATTCCCATGAAGATGACTGGTCTTCACTCTACTTGTAGTGGGAGTCCTGTGCAGAGATCCTACATTTATCCACAAGATTCTCTTACTGGTTTTTCAGATCAATAATGTTGTTGCCACTTTTGGGTTCTGGAAAGAGTTTTCCAGGTCTAACAGTCAACATCTGCAAGTAATATATGCTAGATAGCAAACAATATATGCCAGTGGCTCCACCCAGCAAAGTGTCCCTGTCCTTTTGAGGGACAGGGAACTAAGAGGATTTGTGCTGAAGACATTGTTCTTAGGCTGCACATGCTCTCACCATCAGCTCCCACCATCAGCCCTGGTAAACCCCAGCCTCTAAAGAGTTAGGTATGTGGTGTTAAGGCTCATCAGAGCTCATCAAGAAAAGAAAATAATCATTACTCAAAGTGTTGGAGTAGACAAATGAAGTGGTCATTGAAGACTTAAGAAGACTGAAGAAATATTTTCCAGGGTTTGCTAGACTGAACACCGGTTGCACTTACTGTTTTTAACTTGAGGCAACTGCTCTGCAGTTTTAAAGTCAACAGGGAAACCTAATTCTCAGGGTAGGATACTTAGCTTCCACTTGACATATTTGTTTATAATAATACACGTTTATTCCTACTGTTCTGGGATATGACTTAAATAGACAAACTTAACCACTTCTACAGAATATTTCATTCAGCAGCTGAGGAAAGCACTCCCCTTGGCTCAGTTGTAGCTGATTTAAGTCAGAGTAGCTCCATGGAGATTGGAGATATACTGATCTTAGAGCAGCCGACAAGTATATATAATCTCGCCATATATCTAATTCTTCATTGTCACTAGGAACAGCACAGCAATTCAGCATCCCATTGCAGTCTACAGAAAGATCCCACTGATTTTTAGAGAGATCAGGTTTTATGTTCCCACCTTTACAAAAGCATAAAAGCATTTGTCAGGGAAGTGGCAATTTATTATTATTACTAATATTTCAGAGACTGGATTTTATGACTGGAACTAAACCTAGGCCTCAGTCTGGATTTTGTATGGAGTTAGGGGTAGAAGAGGTGTGGATGTGAAGCTTCCAAGGTGCTGAGAGAGGGAGAGAAGGGTCTGGAGATCCCCAAGGAGGAGCCCCCAGCCCCTCTCTGGGCAGCCTGTGCCAGGGCTCTGGCACCCGCCCAGCCCAGCAGTGCTTCCTGAGGGGCAGAGGGCACCTCCTGGGCGCCAAGCTGGGCCCAGGGCCTCTTTGGCTCTCCCCAGGGTGCCAAACCCTTTGATCTCTCCAGGAGCTGGCTCCCACACCTACGGTCTCTCACCTGGCAGCAGGCTCTCAGACCCCTTATCTTACTCACTGATTAGACTGACTTGATGTCTTCAAGCATCACACACAGGCAGAATAGAGAACACCCTCACCTAGGAAAAAAAAAAAAAAAAAAAAGGAATAGAAGGAGATAGTAGGACAGATTGTGATAAGCATGTGCAGTGTTTAGCCAAAAAAATGCACGTTTATGTGTGACCAGCATCCCATCCTCTCCATTACCCCATTCTTGAGCTTCAACCCATTCCCAGTGATTCCTTTTCCCCATTTTTATCCCTACCTCTATACATCCCAGAAGAAGTTTTACATACTCTCACCGTCCCTTTAATGAGTTCAACACAATCCCCCAAAGTCCCTTGAGTATGACTTAAATTTGCTCATTCCAGTGAGCCCATTTTAACCTTGTTTTCACTTCTAATGAGTTACAAAGTTCTGACTGAGTTTCCTCGAGGCTTTACATGGTGACACGAGCACTCTGCTCTTTGGTATTACCTCTGCTAACTCCTGTTACTTAAGGTTTGTATTTCTGGGTGCTTATTTTTCACTTCTTTTGTCCTTTTACTGCCTCTCATTCATCCCAGTGAATTTTGTGCTTCAACAAGGTCTCACTTAGCCTATCAGGTGCTGCTTCAGTGAAGGAAATGGGACTTAGGCATTTTTCAGTTGTGGAAGAGTCCTCACACCATGATGGGTTATAGGGAGCTATCTGAGGAAGCTTAGGAGACAGCACTGGTAAAATCAAAAACCAAAACAAACAAGAAACCACCACCAACAACAAAACCAAACAAAATAAACAACCAAACCAAACACAACTGGATGCAGAAGAGAACATCAGCAAACTCCACATTATTCCTACCACAATGTGGTCTGGCATACAGATTCTCTCTGAAATTGTTGGATGACCATGCAGGGATGTGAGATGGGATTTTCATACCCCTACACTGCACCATTATCTTGTCAGGAAGGCATTTGCTCCTTTGTGCAGCAAGAAACCCAACCCATGCCCCTGTGACTAAGTTATTCGAGGGTATTCTCTCTTCAGTAATAGGTTTCCCAGCAGATAACCACAGGTGCAGAGCACCAGGTGTCCTGCAAGTCTGCCTCTAGCTGATCCAGCCCCTCTTTTTTCATGGCTCTAGCCATGAAAGCAGAGTGACTTATATGCATAAGGACAATCAGGGACTGAGCCCTGGACTGAAACAGAAAATTAGTACAAATCTACCAGGAAAAATTCAACTAAAATGTTTTGTCTGCCCCTGGAAAATATGCAATTTTTCAAAAATTCCTGCAGCTTTCACTGGGAAGCTCCATGTCTCACAAAATGCCCTAAGACTTAGGTGCAAGAGAGACTTAGAGTCATGAACTTTTTATCAACCCAAATTTCTGCATGCTTGTTTGTGTTAGAGGATCTCTGAACACAGAGAGAATAAAGTAAATATAAATCAAAGATAGAAGAGGCAGAGGCAGCAAGCTCTTCCCGCTGGAATTGAGCTCATCCATTCATGTCAGTTTTCCTTAGCTCCCTAGCAAATAAACTCATGAGCAAACCATCTCCAGTACATTCTGTCAATGGGCCCATTGAGACATCAACCTCGTCTCCCTGCTCTTCTGCTCTTTTCAGCATTAGACATCAGTAGCAGGGAATGAAAAATCCCAGATGGACTGGTGACTCACACTGGCAGTCAGTTTGGTACCACATGATAAAGCTTCTTCAGTGTTTCGGTTCCTGGAGAGAAGAGGGTCAAATGTTCAGAAGTTATGAACTTTGTAGAAGCTGTCTGTACGACTTAATTCTTGTCTGTGAGTCCAGTTATTTACTATTTTTCCCACTGATTCAGGACTCTGTATCTCATTAAAAAAAAAAAAAAAAAAAAAGGAGAAAAATGTGCATGCATGTAAGTAAAAAATTAAAGTAGTTTCATGCAAATGCAGTCAGCAGTTGTGTATTCACAAATTAGCATTAAATAAGAATCGTTTTCTAGCATCTTTCTAGCTTAATATTTGACTCTGTAGTCTGAAGGCGTTATATTGGTAATTTTAATATTATTGCCTAAATCAAATTATTTTTCTTATTTATTCTAATTATTTGAATATCATTCCAATTCTTAATTATTATTCTAATTAATCAATTTTCTAATCCACTGATTTTCCCCCTCTCTTTGCACAGGGATTGAGCCTACAATCATGATTTTGGGAGCAATGCTGGTATTTGCCCTGGTGCTTTGTGCTGCGGGCCTAGCTTATCTTATCAGGTGAGAATTGCAGCACATATTTGATTTAGAGCTAATTTTACCTTCTGTGGGAGGCTTGCCAGCAGCTTGGGCCATGTGTTGCAGGTTTGGTTGTGGTCTCTGCCCTCCAGCCAAATGTCTCTTCATTTTATTAAGTGATTGAGGCTTGGGTGGTGTGATCATTGGTTCTGTAGTCTGGGGTGGAGCCATTTCACACTTAATCCAGTCCAGCTTTAGAAGAAGATTGTAGTTTGCTGCAGGAAGGATTAACTGGATGACGTCTCTGAAGCATTACAAAGATGAGTATCTCTTTAGAAGTGCAAAGTATGCCCTACAAATCAACAACAGGAATCTGCTTTGAGAACTTCAGGGTGGAGACCAAGAGGGCTGCCATTTTAAATGTCTTTTTTCTTACTCCAGATCGTTCTTTTCTGCATTTCTGTCTCCTATGTGATTTACCTACCTAGCACATAGGCTGACCCTCTTCCTTTTTTCCATGCACTGGAAAGAAAGAGAGAGAGACTCTCTCTGGAAAGGGTTTGGAGCAATGAACTAGAACACCTCTTTATTGTCAAGCCAATTTATTCCTTGCTATGAGCTGGAGTCCAGGTCCCTGGTCACTCACATTGCATATACATTGTTCTGGGCATAGGATTTGCTCTGGAGCAAAACAATAGTCTGATGAGGAAGATACAGCTTCCACCAATTGTACAAACCACACTTCTCTCCCAACTATATATCCAAGGTGGATACGAGCCGACATGAACTTTGGTGGCTTGATCTTTGTGAAGACAGCATAGCCACAATCTAATGTACTCTTCTACTCCAAACTCTCCCCTGGAGGAATCTGTCTGTCATTGGTGACACCTACATGGTACAGGACTGAAATTAGAAGGCATATTTATCCAGCAGCAATGGGTTCAGCAGAGCAGGGCTCCTGGAATTTCCCATCCAGCTCAGCCTGTCAGATCATCCTCAAACGTGTTCTCTCCCCACTTCTGAATCATCCCTCCAAACCCATATGATATAAGGCCACCCAGCAAGCAACACCTCAAACAGCACCCCTGTTTATGACACACAGCTGCTTCTAATACTTGATAATTGCAGGCACTGAGGAGGTGGCCTCCATCCACCCACATCTTAAAGCCCTGCTCTATGCCTTGGCCACCAGTCTCTATGATTACACAAATAAAAGACATTTTTTTTCTGCCTCTTCTACGTGAAAGCTGTTCCACAAGTACCAGACTGTGCCTGGGAAGGCTTAGTCGTAAAGTAAAGATGTATGGCCATCTGCAGGGGAAAAGAGAGAAAAAAAATAAAGTCTAGTGTGACTCAGACAATGATTTATGTTAGGGCAGGGCACGTCTGGAACTAAATTTAAACCACAGCGTGGACTGAGTTCAGATGTGGGAGCACTGGTCTAAGCTCTGCCAGGGATCAGCTGCATGACCTTAAATGAGTCACTCCACTCTCCACGCTTCGCTTTCAGCAGCAGGGTGCTTTCCTCCATGCCTGGGGGAGAGGATGTGCATGATCGAGCAGGGTTTTCTGCAGGGCAGGTGAAGGGTACATGAGTGATGAGCTTTTTGCATGGAGCTGACTTGGGTGGCCAGGGACAAAGTGGTTAGAGAATGATGATAATCAATCAGCCAAGGTGATGTGGACATATGGATGAGGCTCCCTCTGAACTCCAAAGACCTGTGCTGTTCTGAAATGCCCAGAGTGGTACATGCAATGAAAAATTAAATCATGGTGATCTGCAGATATATTGCAAAATGAGTCCTTCCACAACATGGTTAGTAAAAGGAGTCTTACTGCCAACAGGATCAAATATGTTTTTTGAGGATCTCATCAGGAAACGTTTTAGTTGTCTTAGCAGGCAATCAAACATGAACTTAGTCTTACCAGATGACCAGACGTCTGCTGGAGTGTAAACAAAATACTTGAAAAAAAAAAAAGTAATAATGGGGGCAATTGAGAGCTTTTATTTCCCTTTTCTGTACTTGTCTGATGAATTTTTGACTGTCTCATAGACAGTATGTTCGTGCTCAGTGTTAGACCTTGGCATTCATTGAAAGAGTGGTGTGTGACTTCTATCTCTTTCCTGAGTCCACAAAATGTCCAAATGCTGTCATGTCCGAGTGTCAGATGAATCCCAGCTGAAAACTACCCATGAAAATCTGGAATGTTTCATATTAATTTGTGCAAGACTGTCTGAACTAGCCCATGAACGTGTTGTCCTTGCTAGTGCATCCTTTCCTGCTATGTCAATTTTAGAGAAGCTGGGCAAGTAGCAGGCAACATATTTTTTTTCTGACAAGTACATTGAATTTCCTATCTCCCCTGAGGCAATTCTGCAAATCTGGTAGTCTTTCCAGGAGTCCAGAGTCATCCCTTGGAAAACAAGCAGCAGCATCCCTGGGAGATGCCAGAAGAACATTTGTCCTGTGCTGCACAGTATGCGATAGACATCCCATCTGGCTCAGATCCTGGAAGTAGATCTGAATCAGCACAGTCTTCTGCTTGATATAATCACTCATGGCCAAGAAGAAGAGCACTGGCTCAGCACTATTGCTTCCAAGACCTCCACGCTGCATTGCCACGTACAACAAACCTCTCATCCCTTGCAGCCTTTCCCTCTCTTAGGAGTTTGCAGTCATTACAAGGAGGTAGCTTGCTGTGGGGTTCGTACTGCACCATGCTACAATATTCATCTAGCATGCTTGGATGGTGACTGTTGTCCAGGCTGCTTTTATAAATTACCAAAGGTTCAGCCCTAAGAAAGGCTGGTGTGCCTGAAAGCTGGTTTGTTTTTTCACCAGAAAGGCTGGTCTGATAAATTCTGCTATTCTCCCTAGTACAGAACGGCTGGGGATATGAAAAAGAAATGCAAGCAGCACAAAGTATGCAATTACATACATCTCCAGTTCATATTTGTAAGTAGATTAACTCAAAGCCTCTATTTGTGCTGAGACCCTCTGAGATTAAAGATTTTGCTGCTTGTGAATTGGTAACCCTTGCTGTTTGACTCAGAGGATTTCAGTCCAAGTCAGGACATCTTGGCTTGTCTTCTGCTTTTACCCACGTCCAGCACTTTCCTAATACTGCAGTGAAGCCAGACATAGGGGATTCAGTGTCAGAAACTACTTACCTGGCTAAAAGTGGTAACTGTGGCTCTCTCAATCTCCCAGGCACAGCATCCTGAACAGCCAGTTATTCAGGGGGCCTAACAAGATAATACTGACCCTGGATGACCTTATCTTTATCAACCCAGAGCTACATAAAAAGGTAAGTCTGTCCATTCATGCAGTTAATCCTGTGGGACCCTCAAAGACAGGTTTGCTGCATGGCATTTCCATACCCATGTAGCTGTGGGAAGATCCTTCACTTCCCCATACCTCATTTCCTCCTGCACATCAAATATTTTCCCATATGCTGAGTGGTTTTGAGTCTCAGGTTAGATGCACTCACAATGTTAGAGCTGTTAGAATGTTAGAGGTTGGAAAAGCCCTCCAAGATCATCTGGTCCAACCACCCCCCTACCACCAATGTCACCCCCAAGCCCTGTCCCCAAGCACCACGTCCAACCTCTCCTTGAACACCCCCAGGGACGGGGACTCCCCCACCTCCCTGGGCAACCTGTCCCAAGGCCTGACCGCTCTTGCTGAGCAGAAATGTCTCCTCATTGCCAACCTGAGCCTCCCCTGGCACAACTTGAGGCCATTCCCTCTGGTCCTATCACTAGTTATGGACTGCTGCAGGGCAATCCCATTGCTTAAATTGATGGCATGTATATACTGGGCAGAGCTGGGACGGAGGATCACATCCAGAGGTGTGAACTGTCCTGCATCTGCTTTCTTTGCCTTTCAGAGGCTGACCTTGGACAGCCTGACTGATGCAAACAGCGTAGCAGCCGAAACCAGAAGCCAGAAGTCTCCAACCCGCTCCTTTTCCTTGAAAAGCACAGCTGCCACCCACGAAACCTCCAACGTGGCTTTGTATGAGGTAGGTATGGACACCATACAGCCTCCCACCACTTTGGGTCACCGAGCTGCTTAGGTGGGGAAAATCTTGGGCAGCAGTACTGTAGATCCTGGGATGCTAGTACTGCTGATGGCCCCAGAGGGTGAAAACAGAATAAAATGAAATAAAATTAATAATAAAATAAAATAAAATAAAATAAAATAAAATAAAATAAAATAAAATAAAATAAAGTAAAATAAAATAAAATAAAATAAAATAAAATAAAATAAAATAAAATAAAATAAAATAAAATAAAATAAAATAAAATAAAATAAAATAAATTATTTCAAAAAATACAACTTTTTGATAAATGGCATGGCAATTCTTCTTGTAAAGAGACAAAGAAAACTAGATTATTGAGGCCAGAGAATCTGTAGAGGGTTACTTTCTCTTTTAATCAATGTATCATTGTTTATTAGATACTAATAATACTAATTTAATAATTTATATTGTTTATTAGATACTAATAGGTACGTCCAGCTATGAAGTTCTGTGCTAGGTAAAGGTCCTGCCTCAACCCCATTTTTGTAGGGTTTCCTGTGGATTCTCACTTGGGTGAAATATAGAAAGAACCTACTGCCAAGGATGTTGAAAATCCCCAACTACTTTTAGACTCAAGGGTCTGGAATTTGGACCTAGGTCTCAGTGTTAGTCGTTGTTCAGAGACTTGCTCTGTCATTCACCCACCTGTATTGTGGACAGGGTGACTGGGTGTGGCTGAAAAAATTTGAGACGGGAGCAATTCACCATCTGCGGCAAAGCTCCACCAGCATCCTGAGGAAGGTAGGAACACGGGCTGAGTGGGGACGCGGAGGGAAGGTTGTCTGGGGGCCTTTGCATCAGCAGGGAATTTTTATTCTCCTGTTTATACCCATTGAAACACACTTCCTGGCTTTCAGTAATTCTTGCCTGATTAAACCTGGGAGAAATGACCATGCGGGATTGCATCTGACAAACCTTCCAGGGACCGATGTGTCCCAGCCCATCCTGGGCATCGTACTTCAGAGCTGGTGCAAGACTAAATGTACGAGTTCTCTAAACAAAGTTGTCTGCAAAGACAGAGTGGTTTGGGGGAAACCACCCTTTTTTGTATGAGGGCAGGGTAATGCACTGCTAGCTATTTTTATGTGCTGCTTGTTGACTGTCTAGCAGTTTGGCACAGACATAGCTGTGCATTTCTCTGGGATTTGGTTTGTATTTCCAGCTAAGACTCCCTTCAAAAGTTTAGTTTTCTATCCTATTATTATTAACTGACAAGCAAACACACTTATTTTCCATATTCAAGGCCATAAGATGTTGGCAGTTACTGCTAACAAATGAATGGCATTATTATGCATAGAAATATAACAAATTTACCAGGGTACTTAGCCAAAACCACTGTTGATGGGTGACTTTGGATACTCCAGGCATGGTATTGCTTTCTAGATCAAACCAGAGCTGAAGCAAGGCCCCACATGCTGAACTCGGCTTACACCACCTAAACCATTTAGTCCTGGTGAAAAATCCAGTCCAGCTTGTCTGAAGAAAAACACGTTGCTGCTCAGTTTGTCTTTGATATCTTACTTTGGTTGTCTTAATGGTTAGACTAAGATGAGCAAAGCTTAAAAAAAAGTGTAGGACAGATGAATGTAAGCAGCAAAGATAGTGTTTTCTTCCCCATTCTTGTGTGAAAGGTTGTTTGGAAAGACAGGAATGGTAAGGGCATCTGATGATGCTGAGCAGATGTCTGGCTGACTTGGTCTCCTGTGATTCACTGTCTTGTTTCAGATGAAAGATTTGCGTCACGAAAATGTGAATCTGTTCCTGGGCTTTTTCTCTGACTGTGGCATCTTTGCCATAGTGACAGAGTACTGCTCCCGAGGAAGCCTGGAAGACCTACTGAGAAATGAAGATATGAAGCTGGATTGGATGTTCAAGTCCTCCCTCCTGATGGATCTAATTAAAGTAAATCCATTGCTCCTGCTGAGGCCTGACCAGCATGTGATTTTTAGATTGACATAGCTATTTCCTCCAGGACTGTGAGATTTTAAGAGTAATGTAGGGAAAAACAATGTGACTGTAATTATTCTGGTATACATGGGTTTTTAGTAGAGACCTCTTACTCCCGTTCTGTTACCATCTGAGAAATACTGTTTAGAGTAATAGGACTACATCCTCAACAGCAGGCTGAGAGGTTAAAACCACACATCAAACTGGAACTGACCACCTAGAACAGTGAATTTGGTGGCAAAATCCTACTTTCCAGAGGCCTTTTCCTGTCATAAATCAGAAATGGTTCCAGCACAGAACCAAACCATAGGCATCCTCTGCTACAGGGTGGATGCATCTGTGGTCACTTTGCAAGTGTTCACACACTTCCAGTCGTGTCCTGTGTGTTTTTATCCCATAATCATGAATTAGGAGTCCGGGGTAGATGGCTTGAAGAGGGTATACTTCCAGAAACCCACCTTCTGCTCCTCCTTTGAGGAGGAGGAGGATGCCAGGGCATCCAGCTCTCACCACCTCTGTATCTTCCCTTCATTTAACCATTTGGTACCACTTGTGTCCACCTTCATAACCTCATCCAAAAGTACAGTTTCTGAGTGCAATAAGTCCTAAGGCTACAAAGAAGGAGGCATCTGACTCCTAATGGTGCTAGTCTTTTTCAGTATTACTTTAGGGTGCAGCCAAATTATTGTTCCTAAGCAATTTCTAAACTTCTCCCCTAGTTTCCTAGGCTGATTAACACTGGTTGTGTAGTTTGGAGCCTTCTGGATGATGATATTTTAATTGACTTCTGCATTTGGCATGGAGTCAGTGCTGTATTTGGTGCCCTCCAAGGTGTCTTAGTGCCTCTGATGGATAATATAGTCTCAAAGAACAGTCTCAATCTTTTCTGTATTTTATAGGGAATTAGGTATTTGCACCACCGAGATTTTGCCCATGGACGTCTGAAGTCTCGTAACTGTGTTGTGGACGGACGGTTTGTGCTGAAGATCACTGACTATGGTTATAACGAGCTCTTAGAAGCACAGAAATGCCCTTATATTCAGCCACCCCCTGAAGGTAGGTGCCCTAAGGAAATATTTGGGGGAAATATTGATCCATTGATTTATCAGCCAATGGCCACATGAGGATTTACATCTCACAACATCCAGGTACCAGTATACAATGAATTGCTATAGAAAAGAACATGCAAAGTTTTTCAGACATCCCAAAGGCTTATAGCAGAGTGTCATGGTAATGGAAAGAGATTTTGTTGTAAGTAGTGACAGAGCTCAAGCTTTTTGTAGTTGGGGAAGGGTTTAAGTACACCTCAAATCTGAAGCAATTCTGAATTTCTCCGACTGGTGGAATTGGCTTCACGTTCTTAGCTCCAACCCCATCTTTGAAGTTTTATGTTAAGCCAAATCAAAAGAGATAAAAAGAGCCTTTTTTAAAACAAAACAAAACAAGACAAAACAAACAAACAAACAAAAAAAAAAAACAACCAAAAAACTAATTTATCTGAAACAGTCTCTTTGAAATAGGTCCTTCACATGCCAGTCACCAAAGGCTGCCACATGACATTACCACCTCTTAGGGACAGCATCTCAAGGGACTGAGTTTGAAGATTTTGATGAGATTTCTTTCTGGGTGAAAAGAAATTGCCAGCACTCGTCTTGAATTCCTATTGTATCCCAGCTTATCCTAGAAAGCTGGTTTCAAGTGGCATGTAGTGCTTTGATCCCTCTATCACAGGATTTGGTTCCCATGCATTTCCAGTGTCTCAGATACGTAATCTGCCAGAAGACCCATCTTCTTCTCCCTTACTTTAATTATATATATTGCAGTAGCTGAAAATTTCTGTATTCCCATTGCCCACAGTGCACAGCTGCCAGGGTAACAATATCCCAGTTTGAAAAAAAATCATTTCCTGATAAGTCTGGGTATTTTTTTTCCAACTACGTCTTTCATCACTTGAAGTATAGGACTATAAAGACTGGTCATACTTCAGACTGCCACAAACTTCTGTGATGGAAACTGCTTTCATCTGAGAACTACATAAAATACTTTATTAACTCTTTCTTCATTGATAAACAACACCTGTAACAATGAATCCAAGCTTTAGCACCAGCATTTTGTCTGAGTGATGTTTTTTTAAACAAAAAAAAAATAATAGTTAAAGCTTCTGACACTGGTCAGATCACTTCTTATACAGAAGTTCAGGACTAGTGTTATGCAATGTAAATTATTGGTACAGCAGAATTTTTTTTTTAAAGGTAGAGTGAAATTTGGAAAATTTTTCAACAGTATGGAAGTTTAGTATTTCTAACACATTGCAAGAAATAAAAGATTCAATAACCAATGAAATATGTTTCCACCTCTCCTCAAATGACTGAAATGAAGCATGCATTTAAATACGGGGAGAATCACTGCAATTAGCAAGTCTGAGCCCAAGTACAAGAAGTTTGATGCCCTTGATTTTTTTTCAGAATTGCTCTGGACAGCCCCTGAGTTGCTGAGGGACCCAGACATGCGCAGAAAAGGCACATTCAAAGGAGACATTTACAGCTTTGCAATTATCCTGCAAGAAGTGGTTGTTCGGGGCCCACCATACTGCACGTCAGACCTCTCAGCGGAAGGTAGGCCATGATTTCTGCTCAGTTTTAAGGCTTTACACAGAGCACTCACAAAAAGTCTGCTCAAGCCCCTTGGGTAAAATGTTGCTGTGAAAGTGATGTCTCAATCTCATGACTATTCTCAGTGAAAAAAAAAAAAAAAGTAAATTTTCAATAAAACATCCATAATGAACATCAAAATGTACACTTCTGATCTCAGCCTTGGTTTATGACTAATCTCTCCTGTTAGTGGGGTTGGGGCACTGGGTCACCGCCCTAGATGCTTCAGAGCTGGCCAGCTCTGCTGTAGTTTCTTCCCACCCATTATTCCTTTTATGTCTGTTGTGAGAGGGGTGAGGTTTTTGAGCTGGACCCCATGCTAGCCATGTCTTTTTTCTGCTTTGTCCATCAACCCATCTATTTTTCCTTAATTGCTTCCCCATTTAAAGAGGTTCTGTCTCCTCGGCAGAGATCAAAGTGATGCATCATGACCCTGGTGACTTCTACTGAAGGCAGCTCGGATCAGAAATAGCAAATAGGTGAATTCCTTGGGAACTGTTCATGGTGCAGCTCACGTTTGTTCAAACCCTGTTGGGAGGGCATAGGAAGAGCAAACACACTGCAAGCAGGGTCAAGTCACAGCACTTGGACAGGGAGGAGGGGTGAGAAGGGTCAGAAAAGAGCTGATTTCAGTGAATGCCCATTGTAAACCCACTTAGGTCGGACAGTCCCCAGGTGGGGTATGGCCATTTGGTGCCTGGAAAAATGGCAGTGGTCCAAGCTGCTGCTGCAATGCGGTGACAATGATGATCATGGTGTAATTCAGAGCTGGACTATGATGCAATATATGATGTAATTTGCAGGTGTTCTCCCTCCTGGACCCCTAGAGGAACCCCCAGTAGATGTTGAACATAGTGCACTCCAATTCCCAGACCTGATAAAATGATAAATTTCTATTCATTGCTTCCTAATCCTCAAGGAGCTTTCGTGCATGGTGTGAACTTTAAAACTGTCTGCAGAAGGCATTTCCCCTTCTCTGCCCCTGGAAATGCTTAGCCAGGTGTTTTGGTTAGTTCATTTGGTGGAGACTGGTGGGATGGTCCAAGGAGCTTTAAAGTAAGCTGTCAACGCTGAAAAGCTCTTGGTACTCACCGTAACAGCTGTGGAAATGCAGGGTATCTGCCAGAAGGAGGGTGGTTTTCACTCCAGATGACTGCTCTGCACTTCACAAGATGAAACCTTCAAAAACGATCACAGTTGTTGTTTGTTTGTTTTTATGCAGGAACATAAGAGTTCTACCTTACACTTTTTTTCAGGGGCAAGGTTGGCTCCCTGAAGGTATCTTCTCAGTTTAAATTGCAGAGTCAGGCTAAAAAGCAGTAAAAAACAAAAACAATAAAACAAAACAAAACAAAAAAAAAAGAAAACAACAACAACAACAACACTGTCTCTGAAAACCTCCCTGAAGTTTCAGGGCTCTGGCTTGCAGTGAGCTCCCCAGTCACCTCGGTGTGGCTGCAGGAGTGCAAGCTGCTAATGTGGGATTAGGAGTGAAGTGCCAGGGCAGGGAAGAGGGAGCTACAACAACAATTCCTCCAGAATATTCTTAACAAGAAATACCTAAACTGAAGTCAGGGTTGGGTTCAGACGTCACACTCTCCCATCCATATTCCAGCTGTCAAAGAAACCCACAGCTCAGCTCCTTTGCGGTAGGGCTGCTTTATCTATAAAACTGCAGATTCAAGGACTGACTTCTCAGGACCTGTGAGCCAGGCATTCATTAGGTTTCACCTCTAGCCAGGGAGTCACTTCCCAGATGTTGTTTTGAACCCAAGCTCTCCCTCTTAAAATACTTTCTTCTGCCTCCATTCCCATCAACCTCCTACGTACTGGTTCCCAGTTAACAATGAAGCGTCAGTGGCTGGTATCCTTCCTGTCTGGGCTTGGACATAACTCTCTAATCTCTTAGAGGACCACAAATCCTGATGGAGAGAGTCAGAGGCAATTTCATTAAATATAAGCCTGAAGGCTCACACATCGATCTGTCACACAAGCTTCCCCCATCCAGCCACTTTATTGCTTGTAACCTGTCTCTCCAGGGACAAGAAGGCAATTGAATTTCTTGCCTTTTAAATCCTCCAAGAGACTCCTGACAGAGGAAAGCAGGAAACCCCCGTCTCATTTGACACAGCCATGGGGTTGTGAGAAATAATAGTGATGGTGAAGGAATGAGCGAGGCAGGGACGAAGAAGCCTGTGCTCTCAGCCCCCATTTCACCGTGTGTTTTGGATTCTTCTCTTTGTCACAGAAATTATAAAGAAGGTGAAGAAACCCCCTCCCTTGTGCCGCCCAAACATAGCCCCTGAGATGGCCCCCCTGGAGTGCATCCAGGTAATGAAGCAATGCTGGGGTGAAGCCCCCGAACGACGTCCCACCTTTGAGGAGATATTTCACAAGGTCAGTGAACAGAGCAGCAGGTGCAATCCTTTGTTTTTACTTGGCAGGAAAGTGGTTTGGTTTATTTCAACTTATTTATTTATTTATTTTTGCAAGCAAGGTCCCAAGAAATGATTGAGAACGTCCTAGAGCTCTAGTCTTGCCTTTACTCTTGGGTTGTTTTCTGCTTTGTGCATGTCTTACACCTTGTCCTGAAGTTGGACTTCAGTGGGAGCACCACACGGGATGTAAAGCAGGAAAGAAATGGTCTTGGTGTCATCACATTTGCAGTATACCTGTCCTGATGGTCTCATGGAGATCAAAGAGCTGTGAATTGTGTCTCCTTCAGATCAATATGTTTCTTGATCCTATAAAGTTTCATAGAGAAAACTGTTTTTGTTTTGTTGTTGTTGTTTTTTTTTTTTTTTTTTCTTCTTGGCCTCAATCTCAAGAAGATTTGTAAGATCCCAAACTGACAGCAAACCGAACAAAACTGAATGGCCTTTGGTGCCAAAACAAGGATGAATGGTTTAAGACCATGGTTTAATGGTTTAAGACTCTTTGGCCTGGAGATGAGGCAACTGAGGGCAGATATGAAAGAAAATATCACATCCTGATTGCTTTAGAAAAGGCGATTAGGTAATAACTGTTTACCATTGCTCATAATATAAGAACTAGGAACATCAAATAAAAGGAGCAAATAAACAAAACTCCAAGAAACAAAAGGAAGTGCTTCCTCACATGGTACATACATGTATATGAACCGGGCAACTTGTTACTACAGGTTGAGTCCAAGTATTTAAAGGCAGTTCTTGGAAGGAAAATTCACCAAAGACTGTTAAACACAAAGACAATTTTTGATATAGAAGGTCTCTGAACTTCAAAAACTTCAAATTGGTGGAGGCTGGGTGCGCATCCCAGGGAAATATGATTGTACATTAACCCTGTTTGAACATCTTTCCCAGATACCTGTTACTGTTCACTATCATGGATAAATAAATCTTTTGTCTGATCCAGTAATGCCATTCCTATACTCCTTTAAGGTCAAACTAAAATATATAATATCCATCATTCCATCATTTTTACCTTCCAATTCTTTGATGCTGTGATTAATTTCACACCCATGTGACTTCATTCTTGAGTCTACTACAATACCTGAGTCCACAGATTATCCAAATGGTTCCAAGGGCCAGTTTCAGGTCAAGAGGAGAAAGCACAACGCAGTGTGGTTGGGGGTGGCAGTACACATACATGCCTGTGTGCACAGGCAAAATTAAGACCAGTACGACAAAAGTAAGAATTTCCAATGCCCTGGAATTTTGACCTCTGAATGGAAAGGGAGGCTGACAGGAGGCCATCACCCTCTACAATTAGCTGAAAGCAAGTTGTAGCAAGGAGCGTGTTGGTCGCTTTTCTTGGGTTTCAAGTGACAGGACATGAGAAAATGGTAGCAAGTTGCACGTGGAGAGTTTTAGATTGGGTATTAGGAAGAATTTCTGCATGGAAAGGGTGGTCAAGGATGTCCATGGAAGGAGGTTGGATACATGCTGTCATCCCATTGGAAGTGGTGCTGCACTTGAGCCTCATTGAAAGTTAGTAGAGAAGCAATATAGACCCAGACAGTTTCCATAGTTAGTGGCACAAATTCACCATCCAATTTACCTTTTTCATTATTACTGAAGTTTGGTCATTGGTTAAACCTGTCTTACAGAATTGTGACTTTAAAATGAGTGCTTGCTTTTGGTTTCTTTCCAAATTTAGAGTGCTGTAATGATGTAATGAGATAGGAAAATAACCCTCCAGTTTGATTTTCCAGTTCAAAACCATCAACAAAGGCAAAAAGACCAACATCATTGACTCAATGCTCAGAATGCTTGAGCAGTATTCAAGCAACCTGGAAGATTTAATCAGGGAGCGGACAGAAGAGCTAGAGATTGAAAAACAGAAGACAGAGAAACTCCTATCGCAAATGCTTCCTCCGTAAGTACTGCTGCTTTAGATGGCAAAGAGTGCTTTGGCAATACATAGCTGGGTTGGGCAAAAGTGTTCCCCACTGTTGAGCAAGTTGGAGGGCAGATCACTGGTTTTGGCAAGCACCTTTCAATCAAAGCAAGAAACTTTCATCAGTGCTGATTACAGCTGTAAAGATCCTTCAATTTATTGGAAGATCTTTTAGGCATACTAGGGTGTCTGAGCTCTTTGGTGTGCTACAAGGGCGTTTGCCCTGTCACCTTCTTTGTGTTATCATTTCAGATCAGTGGCAGAAGCCCTCAAGACTGGTGGCACTGTGGAGCCTGAGTATTTTGACCAGGTCACCATCTACTTCAGTGACATCGTGGGCTTCACAACCATTTCAGCCCTCAGTGAACCTATCGAAGTAGTTGACCTCCTAAATGACCTTTACACCCTGTTTGACGCTGTTATTGGAAATCATGATGTTTACAAGGTGAGGAGTACTCAGGGATGAGGTTCATAACATAACTGAGTCAAACACTCATAAAGTTTGATTCTACTGCCCTTTCCTAACTTCAATTTTTATCTTTTTTTAATGCCACGGTATATGCTAGGTAGAGACAATTGGTGATGCCTACATGGTTGCCTCAGGGCTCCCAAAACGGAATGGAAACAAGCACGCAGCTGAGATAGCCAACATGTCCCTGGACATCCTCAGCTCAGTGGGAACATTCAAGATGAGACACATGCCGGACATTCCCCTCAGGATACGAATTGGGCTGCACACAGGTAGGCAGCAGCATTTGCCTGCACCTAAACATCAAAGAACTCCTGCACAATTGTATTTCCAGCTTTGAATGCCTTCTTCCTGCTCACCCTAAAACTGGATACCTTTAGAAGATGTTTAAAAATCTTCCATAGCAACAAGGGCATTAAAATGGAAGTGCAAACACAAAGCAGAAAAGTGGCTCAGTGTCATTAAGGGGAGAAATTGTGTATTCCATCACTGTCAGGAGTTACATCAGAAATGTTAGTCCCAAGGGTTGCATTGTAAGTGTGGCTTTTTGATGTGCCATAGTATTTTCACTGGTATGATATGGAGACATCCAGAAATGTCTTTGTAACTCTGTTCTGAAATGAAAAAAAAAAGCATAGAAAAGCCATCATATATAGTGAATGAAGAGATTGGTGTTGTTTATTGTAGGTAGGATGTAACTGGAAGAATATATAATACAGATATAAAAAGCAAGTTATGCTATAAAGAAAGTAAATTATCTCTAATACAGAAGTCATAATCTATTAAATTAACAAAAAAAAATAGCTTGTTTAAAAAGAAACGTTTTTTTTGTTTGCTTGTTTGTTTTTTAATACAAAGTGTAACTGAACTCCAAAATAACAACAAAACCAGAAGATTGAAGTCATCATATAACTGAAAGCATATGATTTTAAATGGACTGGGATTTTAAATGGAGGAAAAGACAGCTGCTGTTATCAGAGAGTCTATATGTTTTGTAGAAATATGAACCTTCATAATTTTATACCACAGTCAGCCATTAATAAATTTCTCCCAGCAGTTCATCGTTGGACTTCCTGCTTCTTCCTCTAAAGTACCAGGTACTGGCCATTGCTGTAAGCAGAATAATGATTAATGTTGTCCAGAAGTCTGATCCAGTATTACAGGGTGTTTTTTTTTTATCCTGCTGCCTATCTAATAATGCCCACATTCTTGCAGCTGTGGCACTGCAAGTGTTTTGCAGAAGTCAATATCCTGTCCCTGTTGTAAAGGGAAACAAGAACAAAGGAAGTATCTCACACAGAATACCCCAAGAACAGAGCTGTGGCTTGAGCAGAACTAAAATCAATATTTCATATCTCCTAGACCATATAGCTTCTTCTTTTGGAGCTGTCTCTGAAAACTCATTTCCTTATTGTTTTCTTCGCAATATGGGAGTCTCAGCTGACCCTTTACAGAAGTCCCGAATGTTAGGGGATGATTGCAGACACTGTGAGTTTTACATTCTTGTAGAAATCAGATGAGTCTATGGCCCCAGCTTGTCTTGCCCAGAGCAAGAACCTCTGGAGCCACATCAGCAAATTTTCAACATGGGAAGAGAAGAATTCAGCGTGAAACATCTGCTGCTGCCTGTTGACAGCACTTCTGCAATGTGCCTTCCATGCAACCAGCCAAAAATCTATCCCTAGGCAATGTGTGCAGGGGGTTAGTTCCATTTTCAGTTGTTTTTATGGACAGTTTTTTCAGTTATGTTTTTATGGTATCTGGAAAGCGGTGCTGCTATGAGCTGTTGTGTAGGGTGTGAGAAGAGGGAAAGGAGTTGGTGTTCTTTTTATAAAGAAGCAGAAGCCAGATCTTATTTTGCACAGATCTGTCAATGTCAAGCTGTCATGGGAGCAGCAAGAAATTCATGTTCCAAGGCAAAACAGTTCTCTGAGCCTCTAAGACATCAGAGTTTGATTAACCCTAGACCCCATTTCTCCTGAGAAAAGAAACATGAAGAGGGAATCACCAGCATCATGAAAGCACTGAGGAAATGCTCAGGGAGAGGAGGGCTTGGCTAACAATTTAACCACCCTGGAAAGGATGGAGAATGGGTGTGACCACCAGCTTTGTGGGCCAGCTGCCCTCTGGAAAGTGGTGCAGAGAAGAGCTTGTGATCCTGCCTCTGAAAAAGCAGGAAATGCCATTACAGAGTGGGCTGCCCACGTCCCTCCTGGCTGCTGTGTCTTCTCTGACCACCGTGGAGAGCTGCAGCTCTGGGAACATCTGCTGGCCCGTGCACATGGCCTGCTCATGGCAATGCGTGGGGAAGGCGGAGGACAAGAAGACCGGTGTTTGGTCTGCAGTTCCTCCCCTGCTTTAAATGCACTCTGGATTCTTGGCTCTCCCCTCTCAGCTCCACTGCTGGTCCAGGAAAACTCAGCTGACTCTGCTATTTCCACACCAGCTCTGTCTGGGCTGAGGCTGGATGGCTGGGGAAGGCGATGGTGAGAGGACAAGCATCTCCACGGAGGCCTAAGGGGGTCTGTTTATCGGTCAGGCTCTCTGGCAGGTAGCCCTGCGTTTTGATCAAGCTTATTGACCTCCACGGCACCACTGATGGCTGCTGCAGAGGCTGAGCCAGCACGGCTCATTAACTGACCCTGTAAGCCCTGGCAAAGCGCCATTTCAAAACAAACTGGAGAACCTGTATAATTAAACAACTCGGACCAGAGCATTCGCGTCACGGGGTGTCTGGTTTCCTCTGAACTTGTTACTGTGGGAGATTGGTATCTGGAAGTTTTAGTTAGCCCTTTGCTGAGGCTGTCTAGACAGGGGGAACACACACAGGCAGTGAAGGCAGCAAGTGAACTCTGGGATGCTTGCAACACTGAGAAGTCCTTTTGTCACGCTTACATTGCAAAGTTGGCTTTAAATTAATCACTTTCTGCAAAGGGAGGTCAAGGTAATAAGCAAAGTGTTACAGAGATATTAGAATCATAGAATAGTTTGGGTTGGAAGGGACCTTAAAGATCATCTAATTCCACCCCCTGCCATGGCTAGGGACATGTTCCCAAGCCCAGGCTGCCCCCAGCCCCCCCCAGCCTGGCCTTGGGCGCTGCCAGGGCTGGGGCACCCCCAGCTCCTCTGGGCAGCCTGGGCCAGGCCCTCAGCACCCTCAGAGGGCAGAATTTCTTCCCAAGGCCTCCCCGAAGCCTCCCCCCTGCCAGGCTCCAGCCGCTGCCCCTCGTCCTGTCCCCCCAGCCCTGACCAAGAATCCCTCCCCAGCTTTCCTGCCCCCGGGGCCTTCTCTTCCCCCAGCTCTCTCAGCCTGGCTTCGTGGAGGTGTTTCCAGGACTGTTAAACGGCCTGCACTGTCTGGGTGGTTGTTGGAGATCTGGCGGACATGATAAGTGGGCCTTGGAGATCTGTTCAGCTGCAGGAGCCTTCTCTGTGGTGAGCAGAGAGGTTCTTTACAGCTCGGTTAACTGCACTTACCTGGCCTCCACCAACTACAGCTGGAGCTCAGCTACCTCAATTTGTGCTTCTTAAAATAGAATCAAATCCTCCTCAGTAAGAGCTCGGTTTCAACAAGAGCCATTTATTTGCATCTTGGTAACATCTATTACAGATGGAGCTTTGATCCTTTCTGAGATTTCTGAGTGCAGCACCATGCCATTACCCAGATGATGCTGGGCTAGTCGGTATTTTCTCAGGGAAAGCTCTTTTTGAAGTATGAATTATAATGTCTCCAACAAGACCCTTTTGTATGCCATAGTGAGTACACATTAAGGACCAGTTACAGATGCATTATGTCCTTAACCCAGTAGCATCAGCAGTGCCTTTACAGTTGTGCTATAGAGGCGTCTAGACTGCCAAAACTAGACCCTGAAAAATCTTCCTCTAGTGCATATTGCTCCTGTCCTGAAGAACTTGAACAAAAGTAGAGAGTACTGGTAAGAGTGAGAATTAAATTAGAAGAGACTCTGAAGGGCAGTGAGTTTTCCAAGGTTGCACAGCGTGTTGTTGGCAGTAAAAGCATTAAACCAAGTCCTCCTGATCTGCAGCATTCCCTGCATGCTGTTTCATCCAGGCATGCTGTTGAAAAGTCCTTGTAACATTTTTGGTATAAAGCATTCTTCCTCTCTATTTTTCAGTTTTTGAGTAAGTGATGTCTCATCAGACAGGAGTTAAAATCAGTCTTTCCTCTCAATTTGCATCCTCTCAGTTTGCATCCTCTGTAAGTTGTATAAAAATATTTCCTTTGATGAAGTAACATTTTTTCAGAGATCATAACAATAGGTGTTCTTCTAAAGTCCTCCATAACTTTCAGCTTTACAAGTGTGGTATATTTCAGAGTGCTTTTGATTCCATACATGCATACATGTATATATAGGTTAAGGTTAAAGTTTTTGTGTGCATGCCCTGGTGGAGTTTCATTTTCCTTAAAATACATCTGAAAACTATATGAGGAAACAGTTTTTGTGGCAAAGGAGGTTAAAATCACAGATAAATGACTTGCTTTGTTACTTTGTGATAAATACCCAGCAGCAAACAAGTAACTGATCTCACTTCTAAATTAGCCTACAATTATTTTTAAAATGTTTTAACCTAAAACTTTTTGTTTTATGAAAACCTTATATATAACATACCTTTAAATATTGTTGATGATGTACTACATTCACAACTCTTGTAACTTTGCATGACAAAAGTTTTCCTAGATATTATTTTTGTGAAATCATAATGCAGAAGGATCATGACATTGAGGAGGTAGGTAGGCAGAGCCTGAAAAGATGTATGTCATAAATGCATTCAATAGGAAAAAAAAAAGAAAAAAGAAAAAAACAAAAAACAGAAAGACCTGCCTTTTCTCGCATATATCCCACATCTCCTAATGTTACTGAGAATATTATTTTTTTGTGTGTGTGTATGTGCATGTGTTTATTTTGCAAGCCTGATACTGCAGAATGTGTGTGATGAAATTTAGCATCTCATCCTTCAGAGCCCAATCCAAACATTAGCTGATCCAAGCGCCCAGATGACACTTGTCTATGCTGCTTGGCTGTCACACTTTACATTTTGTGTATGTGCATCTTCAAGTGAATCCTACATGCATAGCTCTCGCTGAAAACTTGGCACCAGTTCTTTGGGAGCTACTCGGAAGGGAGTGATCTTGTCTAAAGGATGAGAGAGAGGAAAAATAAATAGCTTTTGGCTAGACGGGCAAGCTAATGATGTCTTCCTTTCCAAGGAGGGGACACAGGGTGGTCCAGCGTGCTGCCAGCATCTCTTGATTCCTAACGCTGACTCTGAGTCCTGATTCACTGGGACACAGGGCATGTCACAGGATCTCAGCTTCAGCTTTGTCAGATGGAAAAGGAGGTCAGAGATGAATTTTAAAATGAGATTTCAACAGTCCTTGAGCCTCCATGAACTCTGAATTAATTTGTCCCAGATGACAGTGAACTGAGACAAGAAGAACTCTATTAGGCATAAATCACCACTGTCCAATTCAGAGAAATGACTGTGTTTTGACTACTTGTAGCAAGCATGAAGGCCAATGACATCTTTAAAAATCCTTCTCCTGTATTCCCAAGTGGAAATTTTTGGATATCAGAAGGGAGGATGAGATTTGCCTAGGAGTGAACCCCATTGTACAGTATTATCAGTTGGGTTATGTCTTTCAGGGCCTTGTGTGGCGGGCGTTGTAGGTCTGACCATGCCACGGTACTGCCTCTTTGGAGACACGGTGAACACAGCATCGCGAATGGAGTCCACAGGCCTGCGTGAGTATTTGGGACAGTGCCTGGGGTGGGTGACTGACAAAATTCTCAGGAAAAATGACAAAATGTGCATCTTTAGCTGTAGGCATCACAATTGAATCAGCTTTGCAGAAAGGGGCAAGTCCATCGACGAAATTATAAGCTGTCTGAAGGGGAGGGTGTCGGCTTTGCCCTCAGACGTCAGTCTTTAAGACAAGAAGATCATTTTATTTTATTCTCTTTTCCTGCAAAATCTCAAAAAAAAATGTTCAGTCTGGTCCAGTGACCAGTGTGACTCACACCCTGCATTCTAGCTACAGTCCTTTGATTTGGATCCCCTCAACCCAAATGAACACGAATCTTGCCTTAGATTTTCCTTCCATGGGGGCAGCTAGTTGTATCTTGCTTTCAGACTGGTCAGTGTTGAGGACCTTTCATTCAGAGCTGTTCTTGTACAGTAAATAATGCACCTACCTGGCATATTTTGTGATGGCTTCATGTATCAGCAGTAGAAACTCTTTGAACAAGTGGTGGCAGGTCCTAACAAAATCCTTAAGATTCCCTTCCCCTTTGGGTTTTCTTAGTGTCTTGCTGGGTTGATGTTCCCTCAAGTCCTTGCCATTATTTTCCCAAGACTTTCAGTTACAAAAGTGGAATATTGATCTGCATTTCAGTCATATGCATAAACAGTTCTGTTTTCTGCTGGTGTCCTTGACTTAAACATCGACCTCAAAACCATAGTGGCTGAACTGTGGGTGACACAGTGGACAGCTAGGGACAGCAGTGTCAGGGCCCTGGGTGAGATTTCAATTGGCTTTTGATGTTCAGGCCATCAGAACAAGCTGATTTCTAAAGTCAAAGTGTCTCATATGTTTTAACCCTTGCTCTTGACACTCTCAACAGTTCTAAGAGATTAGCCAATATGTCTAGTTTACAAACTACAGGAAGTCTGCGGTATTTAATACTGAAATCTTGAGGACTTGCCAGGCTAGAAATACATTGTAATATATGTGTCACATAAGAATTTTTCTTTTTCTGTCACATAGCCATCACATTTCTAGTTCAACTAGTGATTTCAACTAGTCTAATTAAGACTAACAATTAGACCCATAATTAATTAAGGAAAATTGCCTGTCTTGTGATTATGTCTGGCTTATTTTAAGAGGCATGCACAGAATTTGGAAAGCAGTGGAAAGGAAGAAGTACTAATAGAAAGGAGATATTTGAAAATTCTCAAGGTTTAGACCCCTGGAAATGCAAAGTCTGAGACTGGAACCTGCTAACACTGCAGAAACAAGATCTTTGTACATTAATAGAAACTTGTACAGAGACACAGTAATAGGTAGACTGTAGTTTACTGCGTCATGAAATGTAGATCAAAGCTGTGGTGTTCCTCTGCATCAGTTCCTTTAAGCTGATATTCTTTTTTCTGATCATTCTGATCAACTACAACAATAAAATAATACAACTATTATGGGGGAAGTATTTTAGGAATATTTCCTGGGTGTTCAAATCAATCGCACAACAACAAATCTCAGTGAGTTCCAGCAATGGCTGTAAAACAAACTGGGGAGATGGGAATTTGATAAAGATTTCTGACTTTGCCCTTTTTGTGCATAAAATGTTAATGACAGCTCTGGGTGGAATAAATTACTGAAAAATCTAGTTAAATCTACATATATAGCCACGTTCTTGTTATGTCTCACTGCAAACTCCATCTCTTTGCTTTTAATCCCAGCACCTGTTTTTCACATGATGCTGCCTGTCTGGAGCAGGACTTTGGTTGGTTATTTTTCTCTTCTTTCTTGCTGCCTCATTACACTGTGGCAATAGGTATTAAAAAAGACATTCTTCATTGCAGCCAGCACTGCTGCTCAAACACCATTTGCTATCTTTGTGAAGAGCTGAACTTCCCATGCTTACTCTGTTTGGTGTCCTTCCCCATGAAGTCCCGATTGTAGATCTCCTCTTGCCCTGTGCTTGTTACAGCCTTACCTGGAGGACCCAATCCATCAGCATCACACTCTGAGTCAAGGAACACCACACAGCTACAACACCTTCATGCCAGCATGCCTTGGAGAATTTTTCCTTGCATGTATGAAGTGGTGGGGGGTTCACAGTGTGTGAGCAGTTGACTGATCCATCTGTTTTGCTTTCCATTCCCAGCTTACAGAATTCATGTCAGCCAAAGTACAGTGGATACACTTCGGAGTCTAAATGAAGGCTATGAAATCGTACCTAGGGGAAAAACAGAACTGAAGGTAAGAAGGCCAGGGCTGTGTGAAATGCTTCATAAGGGAATCTTCCTACTTACGGAATTTTCATGTTAAGCTTTGTTTGGCCTTTATCCACAACTCTTCCATGCAGTCCTTCCCAAAACATTCCCCATCGGTTGCTTCAGTAAGTGAGGTAATTCTTGAAGGACCATGGAAAAATCCACAGTGTCAAGCACACAGATGTATGTTTTGCATCTATTTATTCTGAAAATTGGAAGGAGAAAAAACTGTTGAAAAAGTTGGTGGCAAAAGAGAAAGCATTTAACAATGCCATTCTCATTTGAAATCTTCTGTTGTGAGTAGATTTCTGGTGAAGAGGGTGGGTGAAAAGGTAAAGGTCTTATCCCAAGTTATTTTTTTTCCTGTTCCTTGTTTCTGAAGTTTATAGGGAGAGTTTATCTGAACCTTAGATCACATACCAAAATTCCTATCCCTGCCAGCTACTGCCACGCAGACAGAGTTCTGCAGGATATCAAATTCTGCCTATTAGTCAAGCCCAGTTCTGTCACCCTCTGTTTCATTTTAACATCATCCTTGAGTAATACTATACACACAACAAGAAGCCACTGGTTGCAATAAGACTGCTCTTTCTCAGGGAGGGAACCATAGCAAAATAAGGTCCTTAGTAGAATTTACCAGCCTTTCAGTGGTTATCAGAGAAGTGCAAAATACTGGCAGAGAGAAGGAAGAATGCTCAGGGTAAGAGGCAACTGTATTCCTCATTCAGAAAGAGCTTATTTTGCCTCTTGAGGTTGATAAATACCATGAGGAAGAAGGAAGGGGGTAATTCATTAGAAAAATTCCATGATTCCAAAGCATGTGGTGTTTTTTGTTGGTTTTGTTGTTGTTTTTGTTTTTGAGGTATTATGTAATCATTGGGGCTGACAAAGGTATAAGGGATTTTGTTGAAAAGACACATATAAAGGCAAGGGGTCACTTGTTCTAAAGTCAGTATCTACAGCGTATGTGTGCATCTCCACCTGAGCTCTGTTTTCCCTGTCAATGAGAGCACTGTAGGTACAAGTGCAGCATCCTTCCAAGGTGGACATTCACAGAATCACACAGAATCACAGAATTGTCTAGGTTGGAAGAGACTTCAAGATCATAGAGTCCAACCTCTGACCTAAATTCAGAACAGGCCAGAGGAAACACAATGGAATCTAGAAGTGCAGTCTTCTTTCTCATGCTTACAAAGGGTACCTGGTGACTTGCTTGCCTAAAGGTATCCATATTACGGAGGTTTACAAATGTTTACATGAATTAGTACCTTCAACTTACCCATAAAGGACAAACTGGGTACATTCCGCTATTGACCATCCACTCACTCTATGAAATAAGGACTTTTAAAATCACAAGAATGCCTCCTAGCATTCAAAATTTAACTAGTTTTCAGCCAGAAACGTTCCCAAAGTTTAGAACTCTGTTTAGTCCACCATCGACAGAAGATGCTATTTTTCACAGTGTCTAAACCAGACAAACTAAATAATTCAAAACATCACTTCTCCCTTTATGTAGTCAATAGAAGTAGGAGGTTTGCTTACCTTAAACACCTACAGGAGAAAGTATGAATATTGCCCCAGCTCTCTCAACAATCTTTTATGAAAAGTGGAATCATGTCACCCAAGTTTGTGTGGCTTCAACTGGATATATCAGGTAGCTATTCAAGGTTTATTCAATCAAAAGACACCTTTACATAGTCAGTGAAGGTAAATTGGCACTTCAGGAAATTATTAACCTGACTTACTTTCAGTGTCCAGTTTCTGTGAAGATGAATGTCACCTTAGAAGTATCTGTTCTCCTCCACTGGCTCCAGTCAAGGATGATTGACTCTGATATAGTTGTCTACCTTGCATCAGATGTATCTCACTTTAAAAGTTAAATTATTGATGCAGGGAGAGGAAGTGATTATTCTGATAGTCATCCCAGCAGCAGCTGTGAAATCTTTCAATTATTGACGTTAATACTGCAAAATAAGATTATTAGAAATCTTGTAGCTTCTCGTTTCTATTAAGTTATATAGTTTCAACGACCCAAGTTAGTGAGACTCATTTGTGCAGTTTGAACAAGGCCTTCTCTCTAAGGACAGTGGAATGTCCTTAAAGACATTTAGTGTTAGGTCAGAGGTTGGACTTGATGATCTTGAGGTCTCTTCCAACCTAGACAATTCTGTGATTCTGTGATTCTGTGAAATTAAAATTATCCTTGAACCATTGCAAAGGAGAGCCCAAGATTTCCAGCCATGCTCTCTCTCTGGATATATATGAAGCCCTCAGAAACCCAGTAACAAAATCATATATTGAGCAGAAGGTGGTCCAAAAACTGCTCTTTATCCAGACTTTTGTTTTATTTTAGGGTAAAGGAGTAGAAGACACATATTGGCTAGTTGGGAAAAAAGGATTTCTGAAGCCCTTACCTAAACCTCCTGAAATAAAGCCAGGGTAAGTGTGACTTCATCACTGTTCAATACATTCATTAAAAGGTCACTGTTGGAGTTCACAGACTAATTTGAAGTCTTTCCATGGTGTATATTTACAAAGTCTACATCGTTTTTCTTAGGCTACCTACATTTTTTCAGGCATAATACTGGGACTCAGAAGTGGTGTACTCGCTTGAACACTTCTCCTTAATCACAATTCCCAAGAAGCAGCAAGGAAACTTGGTTTTCCCCCATGATACAGTAGAAATGGAGCACCAGGGAGTTCCTTCCTGAATGTCCTTCCTCCTCTGTGTGCATACAGGAGATGTACTGGTAGAGACACTTTCTGGCCTCTTGTTTCATCACCACATGGTGACACTCAGATTTTTCTCTCATTCCATCAAACTCCTTCAGAAGACACCATCCTCATTACAAACACATTTCTTCCCTGTATCACTGTTCATTTCAACCAAACAATAAGGAAATTGTTTTGATTTAAAAATATGTTGGCATTATATAATTAAAGACTTAATGGTGTTGCTTCCTTATGAGAGGTGATGAGCAAAGGTTTCCTACTTGAAATCCATCCAGCCATTTTGCACCTTTGCAATGCCTGACTTTGCAAACTGAGCAATCCCTGCTCGGCTGTCACATGCTGAATGCCTAGGAAGGATGTTGTGGTCAGGACATGAAATCCAGGAGTGGGATTGGTTTGACAAGAACAGTGTAGTCACCCACATTAAAGTTACTCAACCTTGACTGCCTTTATAGTCAACAAAGAGAAATAAATGCTTGGAGGGTGTGAGTTGACTGGCCTGCTTAGAGTAAGATGAATTGCCCTTGAAAGATGCCTGTTCTTGTTGACCGTAAAGAGGTCCTGCAGTGACTAGCTCTGAGATGGATGTCTGACAGCAAACAGGGTCTGTTTTTGCTTTGACTTTGACTTCCCCTGAGTAATCTTGTTCTCAGTTTTGCCTCATTTCCTCTTAGTAAACTGAAAAGGGCATTTATCTCCTTTTGCAGATAATTTTTAACTCCTGGACAGTTGCATTCAGGGCAGCCCATGTGTTCAGAGCACTCCCGGAGTTTTCCTGGCGTAGCATTGAATTAAGAGCATTTTGGGACATGTCTCTTAAGGTATTTAGGTGTCAGACAGGGTGGAAGACAGAAGGTGACTGGAAAATAATTGTGAGAGAAGCACAGTGTTTCTTAAACTTGGAGGCATTTGGTACCAGTCATACATTTGCTTGGCAAATATGAAACCTGGAGCACATTTGTCAGATTATTGGAAGGTGTCTCTGCCTATGGCACGAAGTTTGGAACTAGATGACCTTTAAGGTCTCTTCCAACCCAAACCATTCCATGATCCTATGATTCTATAATTACCAAGGTGAATTGTCTTTCCATGAAATCAAGGAAGCACTAAGATTAGGTCTTTCTCATCTGTGTTTCACCATCTAAAAGTCACTTGTCAGGCCTCTGTTGACTGTTGAGGTTCCTTCTAAAGCCCCTAAAGAGACAGTCTTCTGGCAACCTGTGCCTGCATTTCATCAGATTTATGCAGGCCAGAGCTGATTCTAAACAAGGATTGTAAATGATAGAAAATACGTCAGGTCTGGGGGCTGAAGAGTGGGGCAATAAAAACAGGAAAAAAAAATCTCCCACACAACCAGGATCAAGGGACCTTGAGCAACCTTTTATAACCTCAGAAGAATTCACCAGTAACACTGCTGAGAGGGAGGCGATCTTCTGCTCTTGCCCCACAGCCTTGATCTTCACTGTTCTGTAGAAGTATTTGTGTCCCCAAAGATCCAAATACAGCACTTGAATGAATCTGAGAGTAATCAGACAAAAAAAAGCAGAGTTATATGAAACTGAATCTGTCCTAGGGAAGGGTTCAAAATGAAAACTAAAGCCTGTAGAACAACTGGATATCCAAGCAAAGCAAATAATTGGAGAACTGCCTCATGCACAAGCAAAGCTATTATCAGGCAAGGATCAGAAATGGCTCCCTGCTTTTCCAGACTTATCTTGAGGTTCAATTTTTATGCCAGATTATGAGGTATTGACATTTGTTCCTCTGTTATGGCTCTGTCTTGGTCAATATGGTGATTCAAGCCACTGCTTGATGTTCACCTAAATTTCCTCATCTGTAGGCTTTTGAGCTAACAAAGAATTAATTCCTCCTGGATAAAGGAGTGAATACATTTCTCTTCTACTCTTCTTTTCACCTCATCCTGAAGCAACTCATCTTCCACTTAGGTCTTTCCTTTCTATGAGATCTTGCACGATCTGGTCACTCATAACTGGTGGGATCAGTGAGCAGAAGTAGATTTTCTCCTTCTATTCATGAGAGTGAAGAATGCATTCCTCATCACTTCATTCATCATGGATCACTAGAACTAGCAACCCTCCTCTGAGAGGTATGCTGAGAGGTACTTTCAACTCATAGTTTGGCTTTCTGTTTGAACTCTTGACTTAGACCACCAAAGGGATCACACTCATTAAGTATTGAACAACAAGGAAAGGGCAGTTGCTTCAATGAAGAAAGCTTCAACTCTCAGACTGGGAAATTCCTCTTACCCAAATGATCTTGTATTGTCTATTTTAATGTAACCATGAGGGGTATTTTGCTTGAGCATGTCCTTAATTCCTCGTGTTCTTGCAAGAGATTCAGGTGCCCATTGCTCAGAAATGAATGGTTTCCAACAAGTCTGGATGAGGGTATTTCTCACACTGCATACTCTGAGGAATTTCACAAAAACACAATTAAATTTAACTATATGGCTACACACTTTCCCATCTGTCAGCTGGATTACCTTTACTGCCAATGTGTGCTTTCCCCAGTCATTCCAGTTGAGAGATAAAAATGGCATTTGGTTGTCTCATGCTTTATTTTGCACCTTGGGCGACCTAAACATCTACAGATGGACAGTTGTGATGGTCTTGCTGAAAGCTGGTGCTTGTTAAGAGAAGCTTAATAAATTGTGTTTGGTTTCATCCCCATATTATCAAAAGACAAACCTATGGGCCATGGATTTAAGGTTTGATCCTGGGGATGGAAGTGCTGTGTGAAGAAAGGTCTCAAAGTAATTCTAAGAAGATTGATTTCATCTTCATAAAATTTCTGGATCTGTGTCTGACCCCATGAGTTATCTCCTAGAACTCATAGGAACTTGGACTACTTGATGAGCTTACTCTCGCTGACAGTCTGTTAATGCTCCTTGCTGTCACAATAAGACCATGAGTACTGTCCATGACAATACTCCATGAAATATGGAGTATTTAAGGTCTTCACCTCAGAGGTTTGTGAAAACAATGGCAGGTAACATCAAAAAAAAGTGTTAAATTTATCTGCTATTAACAACCCCTCATTGTAGAACCCATCAGCCAAACAAAGCTGAAAGCACGGTCAGTAGGAGGAGGATTTCTTGACACATGAAATCAATTTTCTGGCTCTGGTGGGCAGTCATGGGCAGATCAGGTAGCTCATACAGCAGTTCATATATATTTATGGATCAATCAAACTACATTATCTTACTTCAGGCTATCGCTGTGCTTGTAGTAGTCTTGGCACCCTCAGATCTGCAGAACAAACCCGGACTTTACATAGATGATAGACTTTGCACATATAAATATTCTAGAAGCCAAACTTCAGCAAATGTAAAAATGTGTGAGGATATTCAGTTATATGACTTGGTTAATACCAATAGCCCATAAAACACTGGGAAAACAACCCCTTCTGGCATTGCTGAAATTACTGAGAGAATACAGCTGATTATCTAGTAATAAACCTCAAGCCATAACCAAATGACTAACAAAGGAACAATTATTGCACCTACATAATTTGAATTTAATTGATATTCACCAACCTCTGTGTTTAATCCTAATTACAGACTTATTGGAGGCATTAATTGGAACATTCTCATTGATTTTCATTGCTTGCACTAGGCTTTCATACATTTGCAGTTGTATAAGGAGGTTTGGGTAAACACACATTACTCTTAAAAGCCAGGTGCTGTGGGTAATGTTGTTCACATAGGATACAATGTATTTTAATTAAGAAGAAAGTAAATACCATTAAATTACCTAACACGCTTCTTACCACCCCAACTTTCTTCCAACCATGCATAAAATCAAATGAACAAAAACACTATTCTTAAAATTGGCCTTATGCCAAGCTGCTCAGGGTCTGTGTATCAGTTTTTGGAAGTAAAAGCTTACTGGAAATCAGGTAAGAAACTGTTTCACATGCTATTTGTAAGAGATAGGGTGGATGTTCACTAGTTGACCCAGGGCACAAGGAAAGTGGAAGTTTAATGCCCAGACTGCAGTGTTGCCTCCTGCTCCGGAGAGTTTTCTTTTTTGAAGGTTAACCTCCTTCTTTCTGGGTTTGCTCAAATTGCAGTTTTACCCGCTTTAAGTGAGACCTTTAGGTTTTCTTTGCATCACAGAAAACAGGACAGGCTGTTAAACAGGCTCCTTAGTCCTTTCCTTGCTCCAAGGCAAATTCCTATACCTTCCCCGATAGATGTCTACCTTGTAATGGGTATTATTTCTCCTCCTTTCTTGCAGCTTGTTAGGATTTGTGTTGCTGCATATCAGGATTGGGTTGGGGCTTCATGGTGCAATAGTCACATAAGGCAAAGAAAAGGGATTTCCACAAAAGCCTTATACTTTATTGGAGGAAATAACAGCCAATTGGGGTAGGCATAAAGAAGGCATACCAAGATGATGAACAATTGAGCAGCTGCCTACCTGCAGACTAGATTATTTTTGATTTCACAATCAGATGGTCTAAAGTCCAGAAGAACACAACATGAAGTGAGAAATCACTGAAAACTGATGGTGCAACCAGGTACAGGAGAAAGTCTGGGGGCTTTCACATCCTCCTATACATGAGGGCCACCCTTAGGAAAAGCACCAAGAACTTAATTTAGAATGAAATGGGTTAGAAGCAGTGAAGGATGCTCAAAGAATCTATCTCCAAATAGCAAATGATAAATGTCAGGAAGAAGACAC